AGTGAATTCCCCAGATAGTTTTTCCATTCCTTCCTGTATATTCATGCTTTATTTCAATTTCTGCTTCATTATCTCCAGACTGCTCAGAAACTGTATCATGTTTCTGTCTATCTACATTATCTTCAACCTCATCATCAAAAAATAACTCATCAACTACTTCAATAGCAGGTTCGTCAGCAAACAAATGTCTCCAAATTGCACCTGGATTTTCTTTTCTTTCTTCTTCTCTACTCTTCTCTTCTTTCATAATTTCTAATAATCTCAAAATTCTTTCTTCTTTTCTACCCATTTGTCAAGACAATAATCACTAAAAACTAGTGTTGTAACGAATAGTATATTCGGCCAGGAGCGTGGCCGAATAGCTGAATATTCGGCCAAACTATTCGGCTTGATTAACGCACATACGAAAATTGGCACGCAAACCTCATTATGGCAAGGCCCCTGCTTTCTATTGGCCTCCCGCTGTCACTACGCTTCGCTAATAGCATTAATTCTTAACAGTTGGCAGACAATAGCGTCATGGCAGTATGCGATAAATGATGATATCAAATGTGAATAACAATGAAATGACCTACACGTGTAAATAACGGAAAAAGAACAGAGAAGGACCGTGAAGTGAAAATGTGAAAATAAATATGTTCAGTTGATAACATAATCAAACGAGTCGAAGCAGCTTACTGACACGAAATTTGCAGCCGTCAATGCCAAACAATTGTTGTCATAGACTTCGGAAAGCTAAATGCTTGTAATGTAAGTCACTTAGCGTGCACGGGCAAAAGCCTGGGACCATTCGGGCTACCATGCTGTCTGGAATCTGTGAAATCATAACTGTGACATATACCGACATCCTATCTGTCTCTTTTCTCCGTTATCATCAAGCTATGAGCCACGTAATTATAAAATGGAAAAACTACGACGGAAAAGTGATGAATCGAAAGTATCGTGAGCGCGTATTATGATGTATGCATAGTCATACGTGGACTAGAGAGATGGAGGAAAGAGAAAGGAAAGAGCAAAGACAAGCGCTTAAAAAGGATAGGCAGGGTCAGACCATCACATGTGTGCGACGATTCTCAAACGAATAGGTGTGTACGTGTGCTTATCTTTGTAATTATAAATTGTGAATACATGTGACTAATATTATTATTTTCTTTTTTATTTTGTGCATGTTATAAGTTATAAATAAATATAAACAAACAACACTAACCTCACAACATTAAATCTAAATACTAAAATGATTAATTTACTGTGTTTTTGTTATTTCTTACTCCTGTTTTTAGGTATTCGGTATTCGGCCGAATAGCGAAAAATAGGCCGAATACCGAATAGTAACCGAATATTTGTTACATCACTACTAAAAACTAAAATATATAAAGAATACTAATATAACACAATTAGAAAATATTAAGTTTACTGTGAAACAAGCATACATAATAGGTTGCACACAGTCAAAAATACCAAGTGTTAACAAAAAGCTGTTTACTCAACAACTGAAAAAAATGACAGTTACAAAATTGGCACAAAAAGTCAATGGACAAGTCTATAGAAAGGTACTGTAAAGGTGGGAGCGTACACTATTTGGGTTTACAAAAATAACAACAACAGCAAAAAAAAAAGTTGAAAAGACTGGCAACATTCCATGATGGGTTAAAGAAGAAATAAGCTTTTTCATTTAAACAAATCATTAATTGTTGCAAAAAACTACAATGAAATTTTAATTACTATTTGAATAACTTATAAATATTCGAAAGATCTAGTTTAAGCAAACAAATCTTTTTACAATTACATTTTTAGTTTATTACAAAAACTAGCATTACTCATGAAAATAAAAGAACAATTTTCATATGAATAAAAATATAATTCAAGTAAAATTTTTTAGTCTAATGCAATTATCATAATAATAAAATATTTACTTAATTAAATAAATTAAAATAACTTTTGTATTTTATAAAACGTATTTTATAAAAGTGTATAAAATCACGCTGCAGTCAACGGCTGGACAACTTAGAGGTATGAAGGAGTATATGTCAGGAGTTGCAATTTAGCACACAGTATTTGGTGCCTAAATCATGCACACAAAAAAAAACAGACTTGTAGGTAATCAGGAGACTGAGAACTAGGTCAAAATAAAATCAAAATGGCAATACTGTTTCCTACAAACAGGTGTGAGTGCGAGATTTGTACATGCGTTGCTCATTGGGAAGTTCAAAATGCAAACTTTGCAAAATCAAATTTTGACAAACATATGACACATGTTACACATGTATTCTCTTGCTCTCGTTGTTTCAATTTTCTTGTGTGTTGCTGACACCTCATTCAAATCCCTTTGACCCATTAATTTCACCAAAAATCTCTCACGGATGACCTCATGGTCGTGGCCAAGGCCAATGAAGTTTGAACAATCATACTCAACAGCGATACCAAAGAAGATTGGAGAATGAGAACAAGACTCATCGTTAGCATTGAAGTGATCCTGCTTACCATAGACAAGAACAGGCCCATGACAACATAACCTGCCATAACCACAGTGGCAATGAAGCCTGCCGTAATCCATGCCAGGACCATGACTATCAGTGTCAGCTTTTCCTCATTAGAGGGTGCTCATTTTTCTCTTTTCCTTAGAAAATGGTGCACAGTTGAGACAGTCTCATACCAAAAATGACTTTGCCATTTTACTTGAATTATAATTAAATTTATTAGCTATTTAATTACATACATTCCTTTTTTATTTACTCATATATTATTAAACTACAGTCAAATCTCGGTACAGCGGTTATCGATATAATGATAAATACTTCCACAATAATAAGAAATATAGTGTCCTGTACAATTTGTATTAGCATAACATAAAACTTCTCCCAAATGAATATCATGTGATAAATCTCTGCTTAGCAGTATATACAAGGAATAGTACTTTCCTTTCTCTACAACAATAATAATGCAGTAAATTAAATTTTAATTAATTGCTTATTTTTAGTATCAAAACATAATACTCTTAATATAATGATTCCAGCACAAACTTACCTGCAGTCAGTAGGCATCAGTACAGATGAGTGCAGGTTGCCATATTTTGCATGGTTTTGGTGTTTTAGCACCTAAAGTTTTTGTTAATAATATGCCTAACAATACTGTGTTTTTCTGCTCTAACTTTGTCGAAATAATACTATTTGTAGTCAGATAAAATAAAATGAGAAAGAAGATACATTAAAAACTCACTATAGCATACAATATTTTTTTTCTTGTTTCGCTAAATATCAGTATGGTTAGGTTAGGTTAGGTTAGATGACAGTATTATATAAATTCACTAACTTCATTAAACAAGACTTTTTCAATAACTAGATTAAAATTTCATTCTTAATGATAAAATATTCTAATATTTGTATTTTTATCACATTATATAAATACTCATAAATTTATAAATATATATAATAATGATGACAGTAATCTGTATGAATACAGTATTATTATTATTATGTATAAATGCCAGCTATATTGAATAGTGAACAGAACAGCTATATTGAATAGCAAAATAATTAATCAAGCAACAAACACCTTATTCATTGCCAAGGGAGTTTATTAAAAACTAACGTTTTCGATCTACTCCAAAGATCATCTTCAGGTTGAAACATTCAAATTTGGAATAACAAAAAATATATCTTTATACAATCAGCACTCAGAAAAAAAAAAAAAAAAAAAAAAACTACTTTAACATTAGTAAACATTTTCAACCTTTTTAAAGGTCATCCTCATGCTAAATATTGAATAATTTAAAAGTAATGGAATGTAAAATATCAACTGTTACAAAATTAATACATTCAGTGTGTATGGCTATTGGATAGTGGCAATGCCATACTATTTTTTTTTTCATGGGATTTTTTTGTACAAGAGATTATTATTTAGGTGCCACAGATTGTCTTTTATGAGATATATTTTAAAAAACTCTACGCTTTTTCCTTCACTAAAGATCATTACAGTTCTCATTGGTTGGATGTTTTACTTATCAGAAAATGATAAGAAATCATTCAAAAAAATTACAATTTTTCACAAAATTTTTCAAGCCAACTACATCACTGGTATGCAAAAATTCTTAATTATTTTCTAAATCAATGAATCAAAAAGACAGTAATTTGACTCAAAGGTAATATCTAAAACTCTAAATAAATCAATGGCATGTAATGGCATGTTAGGTGCCAACTGGTAAGATTATCATGCATCCTCACTTAAGCATATAGAGTCTCATTTATGGTGGTAAAAATTACTGTCTACACACTTGTGAATTTTATTTTGTTCACATTTCCAGTGATTGTATGCTTTTTTCTTTACTCTGGTGGTACCCCACATAAAATGGGATATTTTCTTTGTTGATAGCATGTAGCATTAAACTTAGAATTCAAAAGTTGGCTATCCAACCAATTATATCAACAACTGAATTACCAGATACCTTCCACATGAGCTTTTGAGTCATATGTGGATGAATTGTAGATTATTGTAAACAGTAAACATAATAAATGCTACAAGTTTATCCATCTGGATTTATCAAAGCAATTGCTAGCTTAAATCAGTTTACTGTGTAAGCAGAAATAAAACCCTACTCATTACAATATAATATACAGAAAAGAAATAATTAAAGAATCAGAAAAAAATATTAAATCATCATTTAGCATATGGTTTGAAGTTATGTGCATATTGGGATTAGTTAAAGGTGTCCTCGTTTTGGGGTTTCATAACAAGGTATTACATACCTACTTCAAGCATTACAAAGTCTATTCCTTGCAAATAAATTTTTTGATTAATTATTTGGTAATCTACCAAATAATTAATGTATAATAATAACATGTATAAATGAGGATGTTTGTTTGTTCGCTTGCTATGCATACCTAGATTGTTTGACCAATTGCTATGAAACTCAGCAGTTATATTCAAATATGCCCAACTTAGATAATGTTGTATATCCAACCCCAAATTATCAATTCAATTTCTATATATTGATTAATTTCTGTCTACATTTGATTGCTGGCTTTACATGTAGTACCATCTATTGGAAAAAATTTAACAAAATAATTAACTAAATATAATTCTTACAAAAAAGGATAGAACTTAAAAATATTCACTGAATTACTGCGACAACAATATAGCACAAAATAGATGCACCATTACTGCGACAACAATATAGCACAAAATAGATGCACCATTACAGGTAGCATATAGCACTTGCCTGCATGGAGTGCAGTAGTGTTTTGCCCCTGTACATCATACTTTTCCTGTAAGCAATAGAGTTGTTCTGGTTATGTATCTAACTACATTCAGAGAAAAATTTTTGAATTGAATAACATGACTAACAGTACAAATCGGAAGTTCTTACATAGTTAATCTCATTCTCTTTTGATTTTCATGTCTGATTTCTCTGGTCTGGACCATCCTCTCTCCCAGGAGGAGTACCACTACTACTTTTGGTCGAATTAACTTCAATATCCATCTGCAACAATCCCTTCTTTCTATCAGATCTACTGGTATGATGGCATTAGAATAGGAAAATTACATCATAAGAGATTACCAGCATGCATAAAATATCATTTAAGTTGTTTTCAAGCGTACTTAGTTTAAATATTATGTCCATTTTTCACAAAATTTGATTTGTTCGCAGATCACCATTTGATATTTGGTTGGGAATGAAACAGTTTGTTAGTGCTAACATTAGAAAAACATACAATATCTTAAATTTTTTATGATATTGTATTTTCAATTGGTGTCTACTTGACCAATAAAATTGTGTCATTTCATACCATTTGAGTATTACAATAAACATGACAATGATAGGCTAAAATAACCAAACTCTTTATATGGTTTTCATTTTAATATTTGTTATATCATTGTAGTTATATAAATCAAATGCTAAGATTAAATGTTTTAGATTGGTCACTTGGTATGATAAACCCTTATGTAAGATAACTGTAAAGTATTGACCTTTTAGCAGAGTGGGAACAAAAGAGGCATGACCTTGTCAATTGGACCCATGTGCGGTCGGGTAATACCACTTGTAAGGTATTGATTTTGTTTTCCCTTGTTTACAACAAGGGAAAACAAAGGAAGCGCTGGCTTTGTCAATTGGACCCATCTGTAGTCAGACGTTAGACCATTTGCTACATGGTAAACAACTGAATGTAAACAAGTGGCAGACGTTTATGTAAGCTTCACTCTCATTGGATGACAGCGGACCCAAGTGTAAGCTGTTCGGGCAAGAAGGGGTTTGTGATTGGTCGGAGGTCCCCGTCCAAAATACCCTTAAATTGCGGGGCGAACAAGAGGAGGAGGAGAGAAGGGCAAGAGACTGATACACGGTAGTCTCCGGCACTTGGAATACCCGCTGAGTGTAGAGAGAGTGTTCTCCTCTGGTAAACATCTCAGGGACGGGTTAGTGCAGAGACTGGGCTGACCGTGCAGTTGAGCCAACTCCACGAGCTGACTGACGCCTCTTCAAAGTTTAAAGGTTCCCAGAAACCAAGCTAGTACGTGAGTCACCATTTGGGAATTCGATCCCGGTCCTTATTTCTAATCCCGGGATTTCGGGATTATACTTATTCAATCCCGGGATTATTTCGGTATTGAGGGTTAATAAAAAATAAGAAAATCTTACAGAAATCAAAAATCAAAATTTAGACAAAAATCAACGTATTTTACGGTATACACCTAGTTAATTTAATCACTCTAATTAATCAGACTTAGAGTCAGACAAACCAGACTTAAAATCACTGTTTCATGTTAAATTTATTCTTTTTTAAGCATCACTGAGATCTCTTTAAACTCACATAAATTGAAAAAACCTTTATGTAACAATCTATGCAAATAAACGTTGAAAATTAACAAAAATCTCTCTTAACATCGACTAAATAGACTACTTTCATATAACAACCTAGTAAGTTTCTTAGCAAAAAGTATTTAAAAATAATATTAATCAGTCACAATTTTCTTAAATATAAAGAAAACTAATCTAATAGGAACATTCTAATTTGAATTGCGAAAATATGATCTGAGAAATAACAACGCATCCTGTGTCTCATCACCAAGTCTGCTTCTCAATTTGTTGCACATATATGCAGCTGCAGAGAAAACGCGTTTAGGTTTGATGGAAGTTGGAGGAATCGTTAGTAAATACTTATCAGCTTCGAGGACACGGGGAGGATGGAAGTAAACAGTCCGGTCGACACGGATCGAGATTGTAGGAGTAAAGGCTACAATCCCGATTGTTTCGATCATTGTAAGCATGTCTTTCTAAAAATAAACGCAAAAATTTTGTAAATTCAGTCTCTGTGTGAGTCTCTCAGTGTCCAGCAAACCACTACCCCGAAAGGTAAAAAGACTTTCTCGCATCATCCTGACAGATCGCGGGCAAGGCGAGGGTCATAACCTTTTCATCTAAGGTCGACCCCCTAAGCGAGAGGCGTCGGGTCTATATTAACCACACTGGCAAAACAAGATGGCTGACACATTGACAGGTAAAACGCACTGAGTAGTGCTCTCGACTGCACCAGAAAATCTATTGGCGCCCGCGAAAATTCAAAAATACAAAAATGAAGTATATTACCAAGTAACCCAGTGAGAACTGCTTGCCTATCACTTTAGTTGAAAATACAAGAAGTTTTATTCCAAGCAAGCATCGCAAGCCCGCTAGGTTAATTTCTGCTGCTTGCTTGGAATAAAATTTCT